GGAAGGGCATTTGGCACTTCAATAAATTGTGCTGTGTCGGTTCTGCAGTGCTCAACTAAAACTAGCAGGACCCAGCATGCAATTATGAGACCAGAATGGCTCCCAAAGTACACACGGTACTGAGACTTCCAGCAATTATTTCTGTGATCCTTCAGATAGAGGTTGTTCAGGGACAGAACTGCTCCTTTAGGTAATTACATTCCCAGGGCTACATGGGGCCTGTCAGACTTTCCCCTCTCTCCATCACAGGCCAGTTTTGTGGTTCGTTATAAAACAAACATGTCATCCTGATGGGAGTTTTCTTAGTCACTCTCAAATGCAGAAAATATAACAAGCAGTAGCTCAACTGAATCTGAACACAACCAATTCACTGCTACACAGAGACACAAAACGTTGCTTCCCGTCTGCATACAGCATGTGGGACATGGGTGACTTTCCTAGCAGTGATTTTATCTGTTAAGATGTGCAATTAAGTCAGCATTTGTCCAACAGAAGGTAAAAATGACTATCTAGGTGATATCACACCATAAGCAGAGCAGCAAAGGCTCTGGAGCATCCTGGAACGATCAGTCCCATGTGCGACTTTCTCCACCAAGCTCTGCTCTGGCAAAATTCGAGGAGGGAAATGCAGAACTCTCATTTCATTTCTGCATTACTGGATGTAAAGCGGAACTGCCTTAACCACACGGCAGGAGGATGGTAGTTCATAATTAATTTTCCACATCAACTGTTGGCCGTCCTCCTCTACCTCTCTGCTAGGCTGCAAACTGCCAGCGATAGTCATCCAAGAGCAGATATACCACAGAGCAAAAAGTATGATTATTATCAGCTGTGCTTTACAGTGTGGACTCGCCAAAAATAAGAGGTAAGCGAGCTGAGGCAAAGTACCAGTGCAAAGGCAGTCCTGCCTGAAGCTGCTTCTCATCCAAGAGATGCAAAAATTAAGGGGATAGAAAAGCGGAATGGGGGAAGACAGGCAGAAGGGGAAAGGCTGCAAGCAGATATAGAAATGTATTCTAAGAAAAAAGTTTTGAGCCAGGCAACTCCAAAACACCTGCAGCCCAAAGAAACAGCCATCCCCATTCATTCCAGTATGCCTCCACCTGTGACATGCCCACAGGCTGCCAAGCAGCTCAGTAGTGGAGAAGGGGCTCCAAACTTCCTCAGCTTCTGAAGAGAACAAAACTTCACTGCCATTCAGACCTTGGTTAAAATTTTCCACTCCTCAAACTTGAAATTTCTCAAAGACCAGAGTGCAAAGTAATTACAAGCAGGTCTTTGGTCCTTACAGGAAAAAGGTCTCCAGAAGAAAATAAGCCACTGCTTCATCACCAGAAGGCAGAGCTGCAGGCTGACAGCTCAGAACAAGCTCTTTTGTGTGACTTTGGGCAGACACTTTGACTTCTCAGTATTTCAAGAGCACAGGTAAAGGACTACTACTATATTACTGTTCTGTGATTGATATCTTAAGAATTCCATGGTAGTTTTAGAGTTTCTTATTTTCTTTCAGAAACTCAACTCAGTTCTGCTGCTGCTATCAGCTTTTAATTCATTTTACACCAAGATATTTGTTATCAGAAATTGTACTTTGATATGTGTCAGGTTGATGGATTCAATAAAAGCCCTGTCAGGAGGAGCAGAGCGAACAGAGTGGCAGAAGTGGTGGCATCAGTAGAATTGATACGTTAACAGCCAGTCTGCTGATCTTGTAACAAGACACGCAAGCATAATAATCGTTTCATTTCCTAACTCTGGCAAAATAGTTCTGATAAACACTGGAAAACATTTGCATAAAAATTACTCATACAAAAAAGCTCAAGTGCTGATAGGAACACCGATAGAAAAAAGCCATACGCAAATGTGATCCCATGCGCAGCTCTGTGTTCCAGTTTGGTGCTGAAAATTCAATTGAGAATAAAGCATTTATTCAAAACTTAACTTCAGGAATTCAAGCAGATATCCCCAGATAACCCAACTGAGTATTTCCTTCCATAGTACTGGAGCAGGATTTCACTAACATTTTCAGACACAGTTGGTAGACCTGAACCCCTCATCGAGTCATTGGAAAGCCACATTATGGTTTATTTTGACATCCAGACTTGCAGACACGAAAACCAGTGTTTCTGATTTCATAGTATAGAGAGTGAGAAAGTGGGTCAGTGCACTGCCAGAGGTCAACAAGAACTTGTGTATACCAGCCACCTGTGCTGAACCAGCTGCACCGTGCTACAACGCAACTTCCTAACTTCAGATAACTACAGAGTGTTTGGGAGTGGCTAAAAAAAGTTTTGTTTTTTTTTTTTTTAAAAGAAATTATATTACAGTTAAAGCAAATGGAAAAGTTCCAAAGCAATTCATCTCAAAGAGTTGGTTTACACTGAGGATTTATGTCCATGTAATGAAGACAATTAATTGCTATGAGATCCATAAAGCATTAAATGAACATAAGTTGGTTTTCTTCTTTCTTCTCAATTTTTCTTGCAAGACAAAGTTTATTAACTACGTTTAATTGCTATTTAAAATTCTTCTCTTACGTATTTATTGAATGTGCTTTTTTGGCAGAACAGAGCATTTTACTAACCAGATTCTACTAATCTAAAAATAAGCACTTTAAGAAAAAATACTACTCTGCATTTTATCCACAGATCAGTTTAAAATAATTCCTTACACAAGAAGAATACCATTACCATAAATACGTTTGCGTTGTTAAAGGGGGATCAGCCTGTCTCACATGAGTAAACATCTTATGCTGCAAAGATGAACATGTTCAGCTAACACCATTTGGGCATATGGTGCCATTTCCAGCAGAGATACAGGATAAATGTGGGTCCTAATGTCATTTGGTGTTACCATAATCACTCAAACTAACCACATGAAAGAATTGGATCAGGTCAAAGCAGTAACCTCAGACAAACAGATCTGCACCCAAATCTACTTTGACACATAGGGGTCCTCAACAGCACAGCCGAGGCCATCCCTGCACCTCCAGCTGAGGGTATCAGATGCAAGTTCGGCATTGTAGGTGCCCATGTTCATTGTAAGGGAGTTGGACTAGATGACCTTTAAGGATCTCTTCCAACTCAAACGATTCTGTAATTCTGTGACTTGTGATTACATGCAAATCAGAGATGTTTGCTGCTCAGAAGCGACTGCTCCTTATTCACCAGTCATAAAATGGGGATAAGCAGCAGTTCTGCCTTATGAGAACGTTATGGGAACAGAGAAAGTTGATGGTGGTCAACTATTCCAGTAAGGCTGCATGAACCCCTAGGAGGAAGAGAAAGCACAGAGAACAGTCTCAGCTACCAGAATGGACAATAGCAATGTAGTCAACTCCTTAAAAACTGGTGCAATGTTCTTAAAGATCAAAAATCCCCACAAACATCTGAGCTTTCCTTACATAAGAAGAAAGATTTCAGCTCCAACAGTCACAAAGAAAATACGAAAATATTACCAAAGTCCACGCTGGAGCTCAGTGTCTAAATAATCACAGAATCACCTATCTTCCAGTTTGGAAAAGATCTTCAAGATAATGAACAGAGCCCACACATCCTGGGGCACCTGTGTACCCAGCAACACACGCAGAGCAAGGAAGATTTGTGCATTTTCACCTACAATAGTCAGAACAGAGCTTTCTTGACTTTCAACATTTAGAAGTTAAGCACATAATATAAGCTATTCCCACCAACTTTTTCTACAATCACTCAAGCTGATACCCACAGTGGTCATTCAGGTGTGTACAAGATGCTCAACACTAACCTCCTCCTAAAAATACCTTTTTTAAGCTAAATATGTGAAGCTCAGGTACCTAAAATGCAGACAGCTGACCTAGGCAAGATAAATCCTGGGTCTGTGTGCAGAAATGCAGTGCTCTGAAGAAGAAGAAAGCAGAAGAGAGCAGACAAGGGTCTTGGTCTGTCTGACACTGCTTTGTCACTCTATTTCCTGCTCACAATTTCATGGAGCCTGTGGGATAGACGGAAGACCCAGCTACCACCCATTTGGCAGCAGACAGAACCACAGGTGTGGTTTCCTGGCTGGGACCTGCTGATCTTCCCAACTTACAACATTCACCATACCAGTGAGTGCAATACAACGTACATAGAAAGACGGGGGCCCCCCCCCCGCAGCACTGAATGCGGGGGTGACATTGCTGATACATTTTTCTCAAGAAACTACTGCTGGTTCAGTCATGAAAGAGAAGTCAATACCTGCGTGCTAAACAAAAAATGATAGCATCACCTGATACCACTTTATTAGAATGTGGGAACCAATACTTCAAGAAGTTTTGTTCTTTGGAAGCTTATTTTGCCTCCAACAAAATAACTTGGCCTATGTAAAAGAAACCATAGTATTGGAGGCTACATAACATAAAATGCTTCTACAATACGTTCCTTAAGTTCCGGCCCCAATTTCTTGTTAAAAGATGAGTTGTGCTCTTTCTTGCTATGTTTACAGCATAACAAAAGAAACATTCTTATGTATATAAAATCCTGAATGCATATAAAAACTACAAGAGCCACACAACCAGGAGAGTGCAAAATTATGCAAGAAGGGGGTATTATTACTCCTTGGCAAGCAGTGAAAATATACTGAACACAAAAGAACTCACAGGACTGTATTACAAATTGACCACTTCAGCACTGTTTGCTTTCCTCTCCAATCCTCTGAACTATAGAGGTAAGTGAAACACAACAAGCATGACTTTCAAAATGCGGATTTCTATCAACGGGCATACATCACCACCAACAGAACACAAGCATCAGTGAGCATTTTGGTCATAAAGCATCTGATATCAACATGCACCCCCTTAAGCCCAAGACTCCAGCAAGACTTCGGTCTTGATGATCGCTCTCCACATTCAGAGAGAGCAAAGATTATTTACTGAGGAAGTAAACATATGGCACATATATAGCAATAAACACAAAGGCTGATAACTTCCTATTTTTGTCAGATGTAGATACTCAGAAAAAGACAAAAGCCGGGGGAAAATGACATACCTTACCAGACATGAATGTTGGACTCAACTCATTTCAGAGCAGCGCTGGCATGAAGCTAAGTTCCTCAGGTGACCACCAAATGCAATTTCTTTCTCAGCTCTCCAGAGGGTCCAGCTCACCCCTCTCCTTGTCACTGAGGCAGATGCAGTGTCCTCCAGTACGTCAGAGCCTCAGCTGTGAAAGATGCTGTTCAGAATCAGGAAAGAGAAGAAGGTGTGGCATTAAATTCTGGGGTCAGTTGTTTGGCAGATTCAGAGCAGAGCATAAGACAACATCTGATAGAAATAAAATGTCAAGGCAGGACGGAGTCTGTGACAATCCATCACGCATGGCACCTTTGGAGGGCAATCTCTGAATACAAGAACTATGGTGCAAAGCTATTCTTGCCTTACAAAACTTTAATAGTACCACTGCACCATGAAACAAATGCTAGCTCGGCTGCATTTTATTCTAGTCTGATATACTAGGAAATAAGTAATACATTTCTCCATAGGGAATGTTTTAATTCATTATAGCATTTTCACAGAATAACAGAACTTTTATATTAAAAGCAATGACACAGCCTCAGTCTTAATACTTTGCACTGTTTAAAAACTGCTCTCATTTAGGAAATTCAAAGCTTCTCAATGGGCAATTACATTAGGTCTTATAGTTAATGGGAAGCAGTGACTGTCAGCCCAACACTCAACAACATGTTCCTGAATTCAATTGTCAGAGACAGAAAAACATCCTACGGATTTCTGGGAGGGCAGGAGCTCTGTATCACCATGTTTTCTGGCTTCCTATCACTGATCACAGCTAGCTTGCAACAACATCCAACAACCTTAGAGAAGCACTGGGAAGTTCAAACATTTGTATGCCCACTGCTGCCATCACATTCTTCACCTCCAATCTCTCTGGACTGTCCATAACCAAAAGTCCATACAGCAATCACAGCCACACAGATCAGAACAACCAAGTCTATTTACTTTATTTAATCCTTCATTTCCTGGCACAATGCAGACCTCCTGCACCTCTTGAACTCAGACTTAATGGAAAAACACAAAGCTTCACAGATTCTGTCATCTTCCAGGCTAACTATCAAGCCTTTGGTTGCAAATGGCACATGAATCACAGAATGGCCAGTGTTGGAAGGGACCTCAAGAATCACAAATCTCCAACCCTCTTGCCACAGGCAGGGCCATCAACCTCCCCATTTAATACAACACCAGGCTGCCCAGGGTCCCATCCAATCCAGCCTTGAACACCTCTAGGGTTGGGGTATCCAAGACCTCTCTGGGCAGCCTGTTCCAGTACTTCACCTCTCTCACAGTAAAGAACTTTTCCCTGACATCCAACTTAAATCTTCCCTCCCTCAACTTAAAACCATTTCCCCTTGTCCCGCAGTTATCTACCCTTTCAAAGAGTTGACTTCCCTCTTGTTTGTAGGCTCCCTTTAGGTACTGAAGGCTGCCATGACGTCACCCCACAGCCTTCTTTTCTCCAGGCTGAACAAGCCCAGCTCCCTCAGCCTGTGTTTGCAGGGGAGGTGCTCCAGCCCCCTGATCATCTTCGTGGCTCTCCTCTGGAACCTCTCCAACAGCTCTCTGTCTTTCTTGTATTCCGGACCTGGACACAGTACTCCAGATAGGGCCTCATAAGAGCAGAGCAGAGAGGGACAAAATAATGAAAAAAATCAGACTGCCAACCAGAATGGTTGCTAAATGACTGACGGCTGTTGATGGGATGATGCTGCAGCAGCAGACCTGCAGGGAGCAGCAAGACCCAACCCTGCCTCTTCAAGGGGATTTCTGTCTCTGGGGACCACAGTTACAATAACTTTTTCATTTTTCTTCATAAAAGCCTAACACAAAAATCATAAAGAAAATCAGTTCTGCATTCTTGTGCACTAACTATAGAATCATCCGAGTTGAAAAGCAGAAGGAACAACAGGAGTAGATTATCATTGTAAACTGAGTGCCGAAGCCTGGTCTCAATTTGGAAGAGATGCGTTTTTGAAAGCTCCTATTCAGTACAGCTTGCTAATGCTCATCTGAGGGAAATCTCTTTGGTAAGAATTTGGCACGTTGTCTTAACATGCTGCTATGCATGCCCTTGGAGTTTCTCTTCTGTCTGAATTCCTGCACTGCTGGGTGGACCATAAATTACAGCACAGGCAAGAGAGCACACTTTCAGCTTTTGGCAAAGACAAAAAAAAACAAAAAAAAAACCTTCCCTCACATCTAACCACTACCATTAGGAGACTGAAAGCACAGCAGCACTAAGCTGGAAAATGCTGCCACAGATTCCAGGCAAGCAGTTGCCCAAGTCAGACTGGAATTGTAGAGCAATGCAGATGTGCAGTGATGCTGGAGGGTGGGGAAAAATGGGAGCTGTGGCGATGAAGGAGATAAACAACTTTGGTTTCAAGAAAATGCAGTGACTATATAATATTCAAGCACATTCCTAAATTAACAGAGTTAAATGTATTAAATCAGTCTACAAGTCACAAGAGCAGGAATATAGATGTTCTCATTAATCAGAAAGACAGACGAGAGTTTTCTAGTAAAAACTGTATTTCCCTTAGAGAAGCCTCACCCCTTTGCTGATAGAAAGCATGTATTACACAAAATAACTATATACTTTAGATGTAATGAATCAGATCGAGTCTTAAATTTGAAGACACCACTTCTATCTTGAAATGTTCTCAGACCACAGATCAATGAAGGTTAGAAGACCATCCCAAAGGCAGCCTTGCTTTACCCTTTGTCCTGTTCTTACACTCTTCTTCAGGCACCAGCTATTTGTCACTGTCAGGGTGAGGACAGGAGCCAGCTGGACCTTTATCTGACCCAGTACAGTCATCCTTGTCTTTGGGTGTCATGTAGCTCAAGGTGTGGACCTTGCAGCTATGATCATACATAGTGAGATGTATGTGTGAACGATGATATTCTCACTAATGTGAGAACGATCACATTAGTGAGAATATGCAACTTTTTACAGGGCTAAATGAGGTATCTACAAGCTGAACAATTTATTTGTAACTGTATTTTACTGTGCATATATTCAAATTACTGTTTGGCTCTTCAAAAATTCATTACAACCTAGCCAACTGCAATTGAGGACATTAGCTGGGCCTGGAAAAATTATATATTTCAGGAATCCAATGACTTAAAAATCTGAAACCATATCTAAAGTTGTTTTGGTTTTACTGCTGCTGTGGACGCTAGGAAATCAAAGCTTTGCGTGTGCACCCACGTGGACTCGCATACAACACTCAAACATGCACAATACGTGTGCATGCAGTCTCCTAATTCCCCTTTCCCTAGGGCCACACTTGGCCAAACACAAAACTAATGCAGGGGAGCTCTACTGGTAGAAGCATAAAAAAAGGTTGTGAAACAGGCAGGGAAAAACACAGGTTTATTGCTAGACATTTAACAAAGTCAGCCTCTTCCGGAAGGGCAAGAAAAAGATCCCAGAGCAGACACTGAACACAGCAGGAAATAATGCCGATTCATTAGCAGACATATCTTCTAATTACAGCCTTGGACATTAGCCCCCATACAGCAGAGTAAGCAACAGCTGCTGCATTTTACACATCCTTCAGTATCAAACTCACTGTTTTCTAGAGAGCTTCAGGACAGCATGGCTTAATCAATCCCAACACGCTCACTGGCTTCAGCTGAAAGCAAAGGTATTCAGCTATCTCAGAGGATGCTCATGACTCCTCACAGCTCATATTGTATTGGAAATTGGCTTCTGTGTTTTTACTGGATTTGTTTTTCTGCTCCTGTTGCATCAAGGAAGCTGTAGGATCAACAATTCATCTTGTCAGCTCCATCTCTGGTAAAGATCTTACATTAATTTAGTGTAAAGGTGACACTGGTGAAGAAGAGAATAAAATGAGGCTTTGAATCCCTCTTTCCAGAAGGCTAATGGTAAAAAATTGGTAGCAATACTACTATGGCACCTTTCCAACTATAACACTTACAGCGCTGCCCACGATCGTGTCCCAGACATACTTTGTCATTCACGATGGCTGAGTACAAAACATAAATAAAACAGAAGTCACCAGCAATCCTAGCATTCATCTGTTTTGAGGCTTTTTTTTTTTTTCCCTGCCAACAAAACTAGTAGCAAAAGAGCTGAGCTGCAATTCAGGTGATAACGTCAGTGATTTGGATAATTGGTGGAGGTCGGCAGTGTGATGGACGTCCTCAAGAAATGAACTCAACGCAAACAGTAACAAAATGGAGAATACACTGCCTGAAATATAATGGAATGCTGTGATGCTGCTGAATGTTAGCACTGCTTTTTGCCATCCAAGTGCAAACTAAAGGCATCCAGGAGAAAAGAAACAAGGACAGTGGTAACCATGTCTGTCATTAACATCATCATAATAGTACTTACGTTACATGGTAGAAAAGTAAAATTAAACTGACAGGTTTCTCTCAGAGACAGCTACGTGATACAACTTTGCTGATACAACGGCATCTAACTGGATTTCTCCTCACTCAAACCTAAAGTGGGAGCATAACTAGAAAACAATCATGTCACTCAGCTTAGTGTCACAATTAAACAGAGCCTTAATTTCATAGCATACATGGCTCTCTATCACAGTAAAAAGAAACCACGCATCTATTTCTACCAAATTTAAAGCATGTTTCTTCAGCCCAGCTGCACTATACCAATCAGCATTAACATTTGTCCTGCTTACAGAATTCTTCGTATCGAAGTATAGTATAAGAGAGTCTGAAACTGTACGGCAAGGTGAAGTCAGTGTCCTTATATTCCCTCGCCCCCTTTTTCCTTAAGCCAAAGAAGGCTGCCTGCAGCACCTGCAACGGCCTCCAAAAGGCTGGGCTCGCACACCCACTGCCCTCCCCCAGCAGTCACCATGATGCAGAGGTGGGATCATGTGTGGGATGTGCTGTGAGAGCCTCAACTGCCCCACTTTGTCAATATATGCCACAGTGTAAACCTAATTCTGTTAACCAGGGAAAGACATCATTTTTGGATCTACTCCAAGATACACTTCAACACAAACCGAGTTAGCATACTGAGACTCTTCTGGAATACATTTGGATCTATTTTCTATATTCCGTAACTCAGTTACACGCCAGGACAAGGAATGCTGCTCATTACTGGAGGACTCACATACCCCTGGATCTCTTTACTGCAGCTGATAGCATAGAAGTGAATCG